AGCCGTTTGCGCTCGTCTTGAGCCTCGTCAATGCGGACCATGAGATTAATGTCCTGCTTCCGAGTTACAGGTGCGTCCCACCAGCCTGCAGAAAGCCCTGCGGCAGGCTGGGATTCGTCTACATGTCCCTTTATACTACAGTTAGACATGCCCTTTTTTGGAAATAGGGTGGGTAAGCCAGGCGACAAGCACCTTTTCCTTGGAGGGAGAAATGAACTGCTGGGAAACGGCCGAGTCCGCCATAGACTTGCTGTGGTTGGTCCAGCGACCATAAAGAGTGCCAAAAGGCACATTGAAGTCGCGTGCCGCCTGAGTAGTATTTGGTTTCACACCATTGCGGGCCTGTCGAGCGAGAAATTGACAGGCGTCCCGGATGCATGGCTCCTGTTTGGCGGTCTTGCTGCGGTCGGTGCCCGTGGGCATGCACGCGAAGCGCGTTTGTTTGGCGAGCGCGTATGCTCACGTGGACCTTCAAGTTCCGGATCACTTATAATCACGGCCGCTTAGGCTCGCTTGAGTGCAGAGCTTGAATTGTCACGCTTGCTCACCTCGCGACCCACTGTACCTTATGTGCCCACCGGAAAAATATTCTACACATGTAGGGCATCTTATGGAGTGTTACATAATGCATGCCCTAGAATATTTTTAAAAAGTTTGAGCCATGCCGCAAACAAGGCCGCCCACTTTGATATCACTTGACTTGATCGAGCGGGAATCGTTTCTCAATACCTTCCCCTTCGCAGACTCTTCTCAAATTTGGCACATATACACTAGAGATATACATAAATCTATCCCGAAAAACTCCGAGAGAAAATACTGACAATTGAGGGAGAAAAACCAGATTTTTGGACCCAGTGGGACTTTTTGTACCCATTGGGACTCATAGTACTCAGGCTCGAACCCATCATGAAAATAGTCGGTGCCTTGCCAGGCTTGTGATCCGATCAAGCCATCATTTACCCTTTGTAAACACTGCTCAAGGCTTCGACACTTTTGCAAGAGTACTGCAGACACATCTCCACGCTGGCGCAACTCCTGCAGTGCATCTCCAGTCTGGTCTGATCCTAAAACCCTCCCCTCAAGCCTGAAGCTCACCTTGCAGCGCGTTTGAAAGTCCATCAAGACAGCCCTTACTGTAGCATTTTACTCAATTTGTATGACATTTTTGGTGTGACATTTGATATGAATTTATCCATTCGTAGGACTTGGATGAGGATCACTGGTGTGACATACAAAAAAAATTGTATTCCGTCCCAGGTAGTGTCCTTCTGACCCACAACTGGCTTGCGATGTCTTCAGGAGGGGTGTCGGAGATGGTGGATGTTGAGGAGCAGGCCGCTGCGGATGTGGCTGCGGACTCGGAAAGAGTGGGGGCGCGGAAGCGTCGCGCCAACACACTCTATGCGGCCAAAGATTTTCTACCGGCATTTTGATAATGACAACTCCGATGTAGGAGGTAGTAAGTGGGTAGAAGATCGCGCGGTTTCAAGTTGATGTGTTTACTCTCTTAATTTGGCGCTGAGCAAGTGTAGATGCTCAATTAAGTGCTGAAGACACCCCGCAGAATCTGGCGGTGTGACACGTGAGGATAATTCTATTTGGAAACCCGGCTTCCAGCAGAAACCCCTGTTTGAAAATTTGTGTTATTTGGAAGCCCGGCTTCCAAGGGTTTCTGGCCGTCGGCCGGCATCAGCATGCCGAAGCCGAATTGGTGCCTGCATTGACGTTGTTGAATATCAGATTGCAAGCCCCATATTCAGAAATGGCAGTGGAAATCAATGACTGACGAATGTCCTCTGGAGAGAATTGAAGCAAACATGGAAGGCCAGTACCCCACAAAAGCTGTTCACTCTTACGAGGTATTTCAGGGTCCAATCAGGTCAAGTCAGAAAGAGGTAACATTGTTCACTTCCAACCATGCACCTGCATTTGAAAATCCTGTCCCACCTGGGCTAGAGATACACTTGGAAGTGTGGGTGGATTGGACCCTGTTTTGCCCTCTCTGCCTCAACATATTAACAAAAGGTTCAGTTGATGAAATCATATTGAAAATCTTGAAGCATAAGAACGAGGTTAGCGACCTGTTCACGCGGTTGAAACCAAAATAGCCCTGAACACTGTGGAACATAGCCCGATATCACACTTAACAGCAATAGCTTCCAGCAAAATCAAGCTTTAAGGAAATCACCTGCGAGCTGAAAATTACCCCGATGTTGACAATATATCTCTCCGTGCTAGGGGTGTTATGGCCTCGAGGCCACTTTGTTAATATCTGAAGGACAGAGTTCATTTGCCTCAAAAGTAGTGTTATAGAAACAAGACCACAACAGCCTTGACCAACATTAGGTCGTTCTTACTCTGGGGAGTAAAGCTGAAATCACTGATGGGGAAACTGTCCATTGTTGCCGTACGTTATGATTAGTTGATCCGGAATTCACACTCCGCCGCTCAGCTTGTGATGGCCGAGGGGTTTCCAAATAGACAATTGGTCGGGGTTCTCGGCAAGGTGGGGTTTCCACTGGAAGCCAGGTTTCCAAATAGAATTATCCGACACGTGACATATGGATTGAATAAAATGCTACAGTATAAGGACATTGAAGGTGCCTTGTACCTCTAGCCTAGCGTTGCGGTATCTTACAGGGTCCATGCAACACAAGCTCCAAGTTTACTGCTGCCTTTCACAACGTCTTCAATTCTTCCATTCTGCGCCCCGCAAGCATGCCTCCACATTGCTGCATCCCTTTCATAGGATTTCCGGGCTTCAGCCTGCTGCTGCTTGCGCATGATGTTAAAGAGTGCCGTTACAATTTTTGCGACTGTTTTGGACATGGCTGGTTTGGATGCGCTGTAGAAGCTAACTTTTGTGCGTTGAGCTCATACTTCCAAGTTTCGATGGTAAACAGCGCAAACTAGTTGCAACATGCGCCGTGCACCTTTCATCACGGACCCCTAACCCTGGACATATTGGTGCCACCAGTAGGCAGATGCGGCACGAGGAACAGGCGCACATATATGGGCACGTGCTTTCCGAGTACTGTAAGTCATATTTATGCGCATATTCCCTTTCACTTACATATCACAACAAGATAGAGCGAAGTTTGTAACAAAGGCAACCTATTGCAATGATGTCATCTTATTAGACTTATTTGTGTGCAGTACGTCGCGACGTGTACAGTGTAGTATATTGCAACAGGGAACAGTCAATCGAATTTCCGTGATTGTTGAGCGCTGCTGACCAGCGAACATGGACCCCTGGCCACTGCAGTACCCCTCAGCTAACAGAGCCAGACCGGATGTATCCGCTGACCCACAGAGGTCTTGGGACAGGGAGGTTAACAGGCCCTAGGCATCGGCACGGGTAAACCCGTGGGGATGCCGGCCACTACCCGTACCCATACCCGCGGGTAGGGTACACTGAGGACAAGGTACAATATAACCTCAGAATATAATAGAAGTATATTGTCAGCATTTTTAATACATGCATGGAAAATACTTACAATATACCATCTCTATATATGCTAAGTATATTTAATATATAATAACAATATGTTCACTATATACCAGAGGTGTATATTATGAGTATATTTGCTAATATACGAACTATATGCTTACAATATACCATTGCCCATATATGGGTTTGGTATATCGTAAACATATTATAGAACCAAATATGATCAGTGATGCCAACACTTTCTATAAGAAGCAATATTTACTATGTTATTTATAGGATTTGCCTCAATAGGGAAGGTTTTTTTCTTCCTTTTCTGGAGTGTTGCCTTAATAAGAAAGTTTTTTCTTCCATTTCTGGAATGTTTGGTTACAATATGATTACAATATACCAAACCCAAATATAGGTTGACAGCTACCATGTTTGGGTTCGGTATATTGTGATCATATAGTTGGTATATTAGCTAATATACTCAGAATATACAAACTTGGTATATAGTAAACATATAGTTGGTATATATTGAATATACTTTGCATATAAAGGGGTGGTATATTGCAAGTATATTCCATGCATATTTAAAATATACTTACAATATATTCAGGCATTATATTGTACATTGCCCTCAGTGGTAGCAAATGAGTAGTTTTGACTAGATTTAAAAATATATTTACGACAAATAGAGAACAGCTTGACGATGTGTTGTGCTGCTTTGAAGCCGTCGACAACATGGTGGAAACTGATATCGGCACAGGCGGCATTGCGCCCACGGGTTACACGGGTATACCCAACGCTACCCGTACCCGTACCCATGCAGGTGAAACCCGTGTACCCGCGCGGGTATGGGCTACCCATGCCGATGCCTAATGTACAGGCCCTTCGTTCAGATATAATAATGCCTGCGCTTCAAGTTGTAGAATATCTAGATTGTCTTTAGATCACAATAAGGTCCATTCCAAAGTCTCAAAGTGTGCAAAAAAATGCATCATCATAAATATTGAAGTATGTTACAGAGACTACAAAAAAACGACAATATAGGATCATTTTCTGATATCCCTTTTTGGTAACCCCGATATACCATTCATGTTCTGACATCCCAGCTTGGTGTACACTTTACGCCATTCATCCCCCGTTGCCTCTATCACTTAGTGATTGCACAGCGAGCATACTGGAGCTCTCACTGGCCTAGAAGAAGAAAAATTATAAAAAAACAACTGGATCATTCTTGCACTCTGACACCCGGCTCAGTGTACACTTTGCGCTGTTCACCCCCCATTTCCTCTATCGCTTAGTTATTGCATAGGGAGCATACTGAAGATCTCACTGGCCTAGAAAAAATCAAATTGCCAAAAAAAAAAAAAAAAAAAAACTGGATCTTTATTGCACAAGGGACATGCCAGAATATCCTTTTTCGAAAACCAAAAATGCAATTCTGGAAACTAATTATAGTACATGTGAAAAAAAAAGTGTCTTGACCAAGTACTCTGCATGAAATCCACCTTCAGCGAGCTGACACTCTTATTGAACAAGGAAAATCCAAGTTCTAGGAAATAGATGGCCATGGCAGTAATTGAACCTACAACCTTAGCATATGCGCTGCCAATGCTCTTAACCACTGAGCTACCAAGCCGGTTGTGTGGGTAGGACATTATCATACTCCAACATTCCCCCGTGACACTACCACACAAAGGTAGGCCCAATCACACTCCATCACTTTTTAATGTGACAAGCTAGGACTTACAAGCCTAGTGGACTTTGATCCAGAGGCTGCACCATGTGACTTGTCTTTCATAGAAGACTCATCCAATCAGGGTTCCGTCAGTTTGGGGTTTGTAACTTACACATGTAAGTTTGGGTTGTAACTTGCATGTAAGTTACATGCAACTTACAAGTACTCTGAGAGAGAGGTCGATGTAAGAATTGTAAATTTGGGCCAAATGCCGAAATACCATTGATGGGATCTGAGAGTCCGTCAAAGAGCTGTTCTCACATCCATGCTACAACGACCAGCTGATTCAATCAAGATGCTGGACGACACTAAGCTTGTGAGCAAGTTCCTGCTCTTCCTGAAGCGTATGAAGAAGTGTATTCTAGTGCTGTGGATGAAACCTCGGCGTATAATACAGAGCGTATAATACATTGTATGATACGATCAATACAAATGACAGGCGGACTTTCGATGTATCAAACTCAAATTTTTCAATATTTTTAGGCCGCAGTGTAGTACTGGCAGGAATGAAGGATTCTGAGGCTCTCGGGCCTGTACTATGTGTGTATGAGGGTATTTCGGCCCTTCGGGCAAGTGCGGCATCACCACACATTACCTAACCTTCGGCGACATATCTCCGAATCCGAATCCAGCGCAAAAAAAATCTCGTCGTCGACGATGGGCACTTTGCTGACGGCTGCCGCCCTCAGCAAACTTCAGCGAGCATCGGAAGACTTTCTTGCAGTCCCCGGCTATGGCGTTGTTGAGGTGGAACAGGTAATGGAGGCTGTCTTTGGCCCGTACGCAGCCCGGCAGTCCCCGGCTATGGCGTTGTTGAGGTGGAACAGGTAATGGAGGCTGTCTTTGGCCCGTACGCAGCCCGGCAGGCCAATCCTGTCGCCGCGGATTGGGCAGCCTACTGGACAAAGCTTTCCACTTACGAGGAAGCTCTTCGCGACGGAACGAAGGATGCCATCCGGCCCGTTGTACGTTCCACCGGTCATGGCAAGGCTTCGAATAACATCATTGACACTGACAGATGCCTTACGATGTCACTGCAGACGTAAACGCTTCGATGGAGCTGGGGAATGGCAGGGACAACAAGAGGGACGAGGAGGGGGACCTCTGTTCACGTCATACGCGGCGCACCAAGACTTCAGATCGAAGACCTGGTAAATCTCACGTCAAAAGCCATCAACGCCCGCTACGATGGCACATCCAAAACGCATGCTGACGCAGCTCAGAAAACCAGCATGCAGGCCTCTGAGGAGTGGTCAACACAGAAATTCTCGGTTTCTACACTGTCCTGGTAGGCTGCCGAGTTTTATACGTGTTCTATACCGGTATAATACGTATCATACATAAACTTTTGTATTGTACAGGTATAAAACATTGATACGTACAATACATGTGATACAATACATACAAGGGACTCCTCTGTGGAGTTTGATACAATACAACCCGGAATATGTTTTATCCACAGCGCTAGTGTATTCCTCCTTTCTGGCTCTCTCCCTATTGCACCACTGGATGGCCTTGGGATGGCCCATTCCATCACCTCGTGCAGGTCAATACCAACTCAATGCTGACCTGGATCAATAGTTCATTTTGTGATGAGACAGACTGCATATTCAATGGTGAGCATGATCATGAACTCCTGGTTGATGCACTTTATCTGGGTATCTTTGGTGTGTGCACAGTCTGAGCCAGTCCCACTGAGTTAAAGCTGGCTTACATTTGCATACTTACATTGTAACTTACAAAATGTAAGTTACAACATAAGTTAGAGGTCCCTGGGAGGTTGTTGTAAGTTACAAATGTAAGTAATTGTAAGTTCGAAACTTACAGAACCCTACATCCAATCTCACTCCACTCACTAAGTGAGTCAGGACTTATTTGAATGCCTGATGGAAACATGAGATCCATGGAATGCACAATCAGCATTAACCATCTATTAGGAAGTGAATCCAGACTGCCCTGTTAGGTTTGAGTGTCCAAGGTAGACAAAAATACCATTTTTGTGTGCCTGACTCCTTATGTATGGCCCAGACTGCATGATCTGTCAAGATCCTCGAGGAAACTCAAGTATCCTCGAGTATCTTGCATTTTAAAAACGCGCCTCTCGAGTTTCCTGCAGTTTCCTTGAGTTTCTTGCAAAAAGTACGCTTTTTTTTGTCACTCAAGAATTTTTCCTCCAAGCAAGATCCTCAAGGATCCTTTGCAGCCAAAAAAAGTGATTTGCACCTTTTGCTAATAAAAATGATCACCGCAGATACTCAAGGATCCTCCACTTTGACCGCCGCATTTTTTCCCCACATTTCCTCAAGGATCTGGAGCTGCTGGCTTTTTGATTCAGTGATGGTTGACTTCCCCTCGCCACGGCACCCCTGCCAAGACATTGGGCCATACCTAAAGCAGCACATGCTGTCCATGGGTCACCTGTATGCCGGGCCGATGACTTGCTATATGCAGCTCGGACAGTTGCGTGTCTTATACTTGTGGACCAATCTCTGGCTATATGCGGCTCGGACACTTGTGCATCTTGCACTTGCGGGCGATGGCTTGCTATATGCGTCTGGGACACTTGCGGGCAAGAAGTCTTCTATTGGCGGCTCCGACATTTCAAAATACTTGGGACTCCGGGCACGGGCAAATGCCTTGCTATATGCAGCTGGGACATTTGCCGGCCGAAGACTATCGGCGGCTTAGAAGTTGAACTCCCTGTCGAGCTCTCCCTCTTGTCTCTGGGGCTATGGCCGACCCTCTCAGTTGCATGTCTTACACTTGCGGGCCAATCTCCGGCTATATGCAGCCTAGGACACTTGCACATCTTGCACTTGCGGGCCGATGGCTTGCTATATGCGTCTGGGACACTTGCGGAGAAGAAGTCTTCTATTGGTGGTTCCGACGTTTCAAAATACTTGGGACTCCGGGCATGGGCCAATGCCTTGCTATATGCAGCTGGGACACTTGCTGGCCGAAGACTATTGGCAGCTTAGAAGTTGAACTCCCTGTCGAGCTCTCCCTCTTGTCCCTGGGGCTATGGCCGACCCACTCAGCAATCTTCGCACACCCCTTCACACTGCTTACAGTGTTCTCGAGTCTTGTGTCAACCTTGCTCTGCGCACATAGCTCGGCGACACTGAGCACCTCTGCCTGCAGCGCGGTGAGGCTTTGCGACTGCTCCAAGCCGCTACCCAGGCAAGTTGCACTGTATCACATCGTCGTGCACTCACACATTAGCTTCAGCACCAACATGTCTTCCCTCCAGCTGAGTTTGCACTCTTGCAGGGCAACATTTTGTCCATGGTTGACCGACTGGACGATGCTTGCCATCTTTCCAACAACCCGCCTGATGTGTTGCCTATCGTTGTCCTTTCTCATTCCTCCAATGGGAAATGTGGACGTCCCTGGAAGAGGATCCCCAACTTCCTGGCTGAAGCAATGAGAATCCGACAGCCATCTGGCATTGCTCCCGTACTCCAGTGCCATCCACGCACTGTCTGCTGGCACACCCTTGATCTCAGTCTCGTGGAACCAGGCCAGCCGGTTTTTTTTCACCACACTCTCGCTGATGGCAGTCATGTCCGTGCACGAAATTCGGCTCCTCAGCATACACGATCCACCCTCACCGACATTGAGCTCGATGCCGCTATTGGGCAAATCCTGGAGATCTTCCCCGCCTTTGGCGGCCATGAGGTGACGCAGGAGCGTATCATTGCCTCTTACTTGCGTGTTCATGGAGCACTGGAGGCCTTTGGCAATCGTTCCATCCATTGAAAGGCCTACAAGGTTGCAGGGGCCAATTTGCTATGACCTTTGTTTTCACAAAAAAATCTAAGACCACGGTCAAGGCACCATGGTCTATAGCACTGGTCAAAGCTACATAGCCTTCAGAGTGCAGAGATCTAAGGTTGAACATGTATCAGAATGCTATAGTCAAGTTTACATGACATCCAAGTGCTGAGGCCTATACTGTAGTATTTTAATCAATTCGTCAGTCACACGTCACAGGACCCTCTGGCTGCCGAAAATTTTCGGCAGTCACGGTGAATCTCCCCATCTGCCGAAAGTTTTGGGACGGCCACAAAAGTTTTTGAGGAAAAATGTGATTATTTTGAGAGGATCTGACAAAAATTTTCGGCAGTCACACCTCTGATTCGCAGCTGCCGAAAGGAGATTTTCGGCAGGTATGTCACGGGCAAATCCAGCTGCCAAATTGATTAAAATACTACAGTATGTAATGCACAAATGTGACATGCAATGGTCAAGATCATGCGACATGCAAGTGCAACATGCAATGGTCAAGATCACGTGATATGCAGGTGCAACATGCAATGGTCAAGATCACATGACATACAAGGGCTGCTTGCAATGGTCAAGTCATATGTGATAGTCAATGAGTTCTAAGAGTATAAATTATAAATAATTTAAAAAATAGCATGTGGTTATGTTATGGCAGCTGTGCGGGGAACGAGTGTTATCATGTGCTCACTTCTCATGCTCGCGCCTGGCGTGTCCACGCACCGCCGTCCACGCCTGCACGGTCAGATTGACGGAACACACCCTTTTGCCATGGTGGGGATGTCATTGGCATGCCTTTGAACCAGGGCATCGAGCTGCTGAGTAAACTGTTTGTTCTGCTCAAGCGTCGTTACAGCAGGATAACTGTGCAGAGGATCGAGTTTTCGCTATCACATGACTGAACAGAAAGCATCACCCCAGGAGGAGAGGGTTAACATAACCACTCTCTTGCTTCTTGTGACCTAGGTGTAATATCCGTGCCAGAGTAAAGTCGATACCGGAACCGGACTATAAATGCCCGGAAGATATTGACGACACTACATCACCAAAATAGTGCATGGGTGAGTGCCGGCCTAACCTCAAGTGCCGGAAGAGCAAGATGCCAGAATAGTGAAAAA